TTAAGCATTCAAGACCCTGTTTTAAGAATTCAACTTTCTGGTGATGGGTGTAATGTAGGAAAAAAAATTAAACATGTTATGGTAACATTTATGCTTTTAAACAATTCATTAAATTATTATGAACCTGATTATCATTATACTTTAATACTTTATCTGGGTATTGAAAGTTATAAAACATTAAAATTAGCAACAAAATTATTGATAAAAGATTTTAATAATATTAAAACTGGGTTTATAGATTATCAAGAAAAAAAATAAAATATAGAACTTTATTTAAGTGCTAATTGGAAATTTATGACAATGTGTTTAGGCCACAAGGCAGCTAATTGTGATGTTTTTTGTCTATAGTGTAATTGCAAAAAAAATATAATTGGCTATATAAATCCAGAAAATAGCGATTGGTATATTTCAAAGAATATAGAAAACATTACTAATAACTATGCTATGACTCTAGGATATAATAATAAACCACTTTTTTCAATGATTCCAATGAAGAATTGGATAGCTGATAAGCTTTACATTATGCTACATATTACAGATAAATTGTGGGATTTATTAATTGCTGAATTAAAGACAAGTAATAGATTTGATAATAATATACAAAAAAAAATTATGAATGAAATGAAAAATATTGAAGTTAAATTTCATTACTGGCAAGAAAACTCAAACTGGAATTTGACTCTGCTTATAGGTAAAAACAAGCTTATTGTATTAAAAAATTTTAATCTTGAAATAATTTTTTCTGAAGAAAGAGCCAATTTAATTTGAAATTTATAGAGTAATTTCTATAAATTATATAAAAATCTTAAAAACTCTAATGTATCAGATGATATTTTTTAAAAAAAGGCTAAAACATGGTTGCAATTATTTTTAACCTCTTCAACTGGACAATATAATACACATACCGTTAAAAAAAGGTTATACTGACCAGCAGACATTACTTTATACATTCACATTTTAGTTTTTTATGTATCAGAATTCTTAAATAAACATCACTAATTTGGAATGGCAGCATTCTCTTGTTCTGGGGTTGAAAAAAAACCATCAGCATGTATGCTGGTTTTTTTAAAAAATTTTTAAGAATGGTGGATCTAAATATGGTTAAAAACTAGCAATTATGGAAATTATAGATCTTGAACAACGTGTTTTATATTTTTATAGAAATTATGTTTCTACTTTTTTTGAAAAAAACAAAAAATTTATGATTAAATAGTTTTAATTCTTAAAGAATAAATTTTGCTATGAATATTCTAAGATGTATCCTAAAAATATTTTATCAATCAATTAAATGTTTAATGCATTAATTAGGCTTTAGAAATCTTTTAGTTATTATATATCAAGTTTAAAATTTTCTAAGTAAAAAATTTAATTTATTATAATAGCAATTAATTAAACACTGCATATTCAAAGGTAGGTCTTTCTAGTTGAACTTATTTTAATTTATAATATTCTAACTTCACATTATTAATAGTATCTCATAATTATTAACATAGTGGAATCTCTTTATCAATTTTCGATTTATCTTTGTAATATTATTAATTTAGTTAATGAACACGTAAATTCTACATAACAATTTAAGATTAGTCATATTTTAACTATTTTAAATTTTTTTTTATTCATGCCAGTTATATACACTAATTATGAACTTATAAATAGTTTGAATAGTATTTTTGTAATTTTAAATTACTAAATTTAACATTTAAGTAGCGAATTTTAATACAAATAAGGCATTTATTGATTATCTAAAATTAATGGCATAAGTGATTAGAAGAGATGAAATTAGAGTAAGAATAAAATTAAGGTGTAAAAAATTAGCAGGTAGGAATGATCTGGACGAAACATTTTGGAATTGGATTATGAAGGATGTAAGTATGGCATTTATTTTTTGTTATTAAAAATTGGTAGATGTGAATTATTTGAACAGAATGGAAGTGTTGTTAAGAATAATAAAAATAAGGCATTCATTTTGGAGAAAATCAGTAGGTTCAAATTATCAAAGCAGAATTGATTTGGATTTAAGGATAAAAAGTAGCGTATTCATTTATTATTAATAGTTAGCCAGTATGAATAAATGATCCAGATGAAACATTTTAACTTGGCTATTGTTACGAATAGAATTGGATGTATTAATAGTAAATATGGCATTATCTTTATTATCAAAATTGGCAGGTATAAATGATCTAGACGAAATGGAATTGAAGTTAAGAAGGATGAAAATAAAACATTCATTTATATCAAAACTCAGCAAGAGGAATGGAATTAAAGTAAAGAATAAAAGTAAGCGTTCATTTATTATTAATAATTAGTAGATATAATAAATGAACTAATTGGGATTGTTAACAGGTAAGAATGATCCAGGCAGAACATTTTAGCTTGACTATTGTTAATGAATTGGGTTTATAAAGGATATGGCCAACTACAATCACAAAATAACATTTCAGCAATCTTTTCTTCATCATGACCTTCAATAATTTTTTTTGTCTCATTTGTTATTTGGGCCAGATCTATTTGTTTTTTAGTTCTTTAAGCAGGTATATAAAATATGAAATTTATTTTTATTATCAAAAATTGGTAGATGTGAACTATCTGAACAGAATGAAAATAGAGTTAAAAAAGATGAAATGAGTATTTATTATAGTAAAATAAGCAGGTATGAATAATCAAGATGTAATGGATTTGGAGTTAAGAATAACAAGTAAGGCATTCACTTGCTATCAGTAATTAGCAGGTATCTGGTTGGAATTATGAACAAATGAAAATGATTTAGACAGAACATTTTAGCTTGGCTACTATTACGAATGAATCAGATTTATAAAGAATGTAAATTGGCATCTATCAAAAATTGGCAGATGTGAATGATCTAAACGATCTAAACAAAATGTTAATTGGAGTTAAGAAGAATGAAAATGAAACATTCATTTATATCAAAACTCATCAAGTACAAATGATCAAAATGAATGGAATTGGAGTTGAGAAGGATAAAAGTAAACATTCATTATTATTAGTAGGTATGAATGAATAAACTGGTCAGAACTGTTAACAGATAAGAATGATCTAGGCAAATATTTTGGCTTGACTATTGTTATAAATAAAATTGAATTATGAAAGATATAAATATGGCATTTATTTTTATTATCAAATTTTGTAGATGTAAACTATCTGAATGAAATGAAGGTGAAGCTAGGAAGAATAGAAATAATGCATTCATTATAGCAAAAATAAGCAGGTATGAATGATCATGACAGTATGGATTTGGAGTCAAAGATAAAAAGTAAGGTATTCATTTATTATCAATAATTAGCAGATATGAATGATTGATCAGTTGGAATCATGATCAGGTGAGAATGATATAAATTATATAAATGAAATATGAATTAGAATAAATGAAACATGCATTTATATCAAATTCAGCAGGTATGAATGATCAAAACGAGTTAGAATAAAAGGCATTCATTTATTATTAATAATTAGCAAGTATGAATGAATGATCCAGTTGGAATTATTAGCAGGTAAGAATGATAGATTTATGAAGAATATAAATATGGTACTTATATTTATTATAAAAAATTTGGTAGATGTGAACTATCTGTATAGAATGAAAGTGGAGTTAAGAAAGATAAAAATGAGGCATTTATTTTAACAAAAATCAACAGGTACAAATGACCAAGATGAAATGGATTTGGAGTTAAGAATAAAAAGTAGTGCATTTATTTATTATCAATAATTAGCAGATATGAATGAATTTGGTCATATTTATGAACAGATGAGGATGATCTAAATGAAACATTTTGACTTGGCTTTTGTTCAAATGGAATTGGATTTATGAAGATTAAATATGGCATATTCTTACTACTAAAATTTGGTGGACTGAGAGTCCTATGATTTTCAGTAAAGCTTAACTCATACTAATGTTACCTCATTTACTTAGCTTTACTCTAAGCCTAATGGCTACTATCAAGGCCTTTGGGGTAGCACTCTCTCTAGGGTTACCTATTGGCAATGCCCTCCCTTTATCTGTACTTACTTGATTAATATTAGTGCACTTACTGCTCACTGTAGACTGTTACTGGGCTGGTTTATCCTTGTAAATGATACGAATTGAAATTAAAAAAGATGAATAAAAGGATAAATTGAAGGATTTATTTATATCAAAAATCAGCAATACAAATGGTCAAAATGGAATGAAATTAGAGTTAAATGATCTGGTTGGAATTATTAACAGGTAAGAGTGATCTGGGTGGAGCATTTTGGTTTGGCTATCATTATGAATTTATAAAGGATATAAATATAGCATTTATCTTTATTATCAAAAATTGACAGGTGCGAATACTTTAAACAGAACAGAATTGAAATTAAAAAAGATAAAAATAAGGTATTCATTATAGCAAAATTAGCAAGTACAAATAGAGATAAAAATATGTATTTATTTATTTTCTGTAATAGATATTTGCAGAAATAAATTTTTATTATTATCTATATAGCATTTATTGCATAATTAACTTTATTCAAGTTGTATGATTTATTGTATAATTCCGAATATATAGTTTAGTTAAACGTTTAGAAAAAAACAACTTTGATGAAGTAATTTTTGAATTATTTGAAAATTATATTTATTAAAATTAACATTAAATTTTGATTTATTTACTTATTTATTTATTTAAAATTTTTATTTTTAAATGCAAAAAAAAATATATTAAAAACAATTTTTAATCAAAATAAATTTGTTCTATAAAAAAATGCATTGTAATATATTCTGCTATAGATATTTGATTTGTAGCATCTTTAATTATACATTGTTTCCATTCTATATGTAGCTCAATTTGTTTTTGTTTTTTATGTTTATCCTTTTTTATTTTATTAATAGTACTATTTGATGAAATAAGAATAATGTTTGTTTGTTGTTCATATAAGTAACTTCATACATTCCAATTTGTTTTTCCTAGTATTTGACCAAAAAGTTCTACTGCATTCTCTCCCTTAAATATACACTGATACCACTTTTAACTTGAAGAATATCTTGTAAGATAGTTACCAAAAATTTCAACAAATTGACTTTCCAAACATGGAAATTTTACAGATTGTAATTCTACATTCTTTATGTTATTTTTTAATTGTTTTTGAATAGTATAGATTAATATATTTTTGAATTCATCTAAAGCTTCTTGTAGTAATTGAGTTATATGTTTTGGTGGTATATTATAATTATAGTAAATGATTGTTTCATAATGGCTTAATCCTTGTTGATTTTTATATGTTTTGTTAGGACAAAGATAACGAAAACAGTTATTAACTAATTCATCTTTAGAATTTTTGTTGTTAATTTTAGAAGTATGAATATCTTTTTGATGCTTGTGATAGCCTTGTTGATTCTTAAATGCTTTTCATGGGCATAAAGGACAATATACAAGATCGGTACTTATTTTAAATCTAAAAAAAATAAGTTTTTTGTATTTTTTTTATAATATAAATAAATATATATATATAATAAGTACCTTTTATGTCTATTTATACTTTTTAAAGGTCGGGAAATTGGTTAGCATCTGAGAAGATTGGTTAAACACTAGTTCAAATAGTAAAAATTTAAATAAAAATATTTTTATTTTTTTTTTTTGTTTTGATGATTATTTAATATAATCATATACAAATTTGGGGTACAAATTTAAGGCCCAAAAATCAAAATTCACTAATATAATGGGATCAGATATTGTGTTTTGTATTAGGAGGATATCTGAAGAAGGTAGTAAAAGCAATGGTAGAGATTTTGGAGCTGGTTTATATAGATTTGCATGAATATTATGAAGTGCTTTGATTTCTTAGTTGTTAATATTAAGTTCAAAGTTTTGTTTTCTTTTTTGTGTTTTACATTTAATATTAATAGTTTGTTTGTAATTTATTTGAAGCATTGTTGATATAAGAAAAATATAAATTGTATTAGTTGTTGAATTCATAATTTGGTATTTTTGAAAAAGAACTTGAAAGTTAGATATATTAGTTATTTTGCTGATATGCCAATTTGATGATAAAGTGTAAAGTGACCATGTGTTTTTCAGAATAACAAATTGGGATGTAATAAGATTTAATGTATTTAAAAATGGGTTAATAGATTGAAGTTGAAGATTAGGCTATATGTGCAAAATAGGTTGATCTGATATTTGGTTTGAGAGTATTTTAAACCATTTTGGAATAGGACCTCATAAGGGTTTGAGAGTTCTAAGATATATATTTTTTCAAGAAAGAAGGTTTTGATTATCAGCTGTAAGTAATTGTTCTAAGAAAAGAATATTATTGTTTTTGAGGCTTAAAGTTGTTAAATTGTTAGGAGTTGCAATAAAATTATAAATATTATTCATTTGATTAGTATGTTTGTAGTTTGTTAATTGATTTAAGTAGATGTTGTTAATAGAGATATTGTTTTTGTATAAGTGATAGAGTTGGAATATTATAGTGTAGTTGGTTAAAATTGTATCCTGAGTTAGAAATGGTTTCTATATTTTAGAAAGCTATTCCTTAACCCAGTATATACTGATTTGGTTAAGGAGTGTATTGGTATTAAAGCATCTTTCTATGTTACTGCTACTAACTTGTAGTATGAGTTTGTTGAGTATTGGAATGTTAAGTAGTTGTGGATTGTTAAATATATCATTGTTTGTGTTAGTAGATAGATGTAGCATATGTTTAGTGTATTTTGTTAAAAGACTTGATAGTTGTTAGAGTTTGTTTTGTAGAGAAGAATATATTTGAAGTAGATATTTGATTGGTGGTGATAAAATAGTATTAAACAGTTGAGATATTTGTATAGAAAGAAGTTTTTTGTATTGGATAGTATGGATAAACTGGGAGGTTTTGCTAAAAATTTTTTTGAGTATGGGTTTGGTAGAGCCTTTGCCATCTAAGAATATATCTAGATATCTTATTATTTCATTAGGTTTGCAAGGTAAAATTGGTTCATTGTTGAAATTTAAGAGTGTTATATATGAAGTGCTATTAAATAATATTTTTTTGTTAGGTAAGATGTGAATAAGGTCTGATTTGGATGGGTTAACTTGAATATTGTTTAGTTTGTATAGTTCAGATATGTTATCTAAAATCTTTTGTATATTATTTTTAGATTTGCAGTGCCAAACTGTAGCATCCATAAAGATAAGAGGTGGTATTGTTATATGAGATGGTGTAGTTGAAAAAATTGTTTCTAAGGGGGATTGTAATAATATTTTGAAAAGTTTTGGACTGTATTTTGAGTTAATATAACTGAGAATAGGGTCATAATAGATTTTCCAGAGTAATGAAGAATAGGTTTCTTCTTGTTCAATGCCTGAATGAAGTGTAATTGGATCAGTAGAGCCATAGGCTGTAATTGCTCTGGCTTTCCTATCTTGATGTAGATGTTCGATGAAATTAAGTTCAGATTGGGGAATACCAATACATTTACAAGCATCTAGTAAACATTTAATGTTAATTTTATCAAAAGCTTTGGACATGTCTTGGAAGAGTATCCATGCTTCTTTGTTGTTAGTTTTGTAATGTTCTATTGT